CCTATTCTGATCTAAAGCGGGAGAGATGTAGTCAAGTAAATAAAGAGCCACTTCTAGGTTTTACCTTCACTGTGCAGTTTTCCCAGTCTTTTCTTAGGCGCTGCTGTGGTTTCAATATTTACATCCACTCCAAAATTCACGTTGAAACTTAATATCGGTGTGACAGTGTTAAGAGTGGGACCTTTAGGAGGTGAAGAGATAATGAAGCTTCTGCTGTCAATGGATATGGCCTTTATAAGAAGTTTCACATAGTCTCTTCCATCCCTGCCACTGCATGAGCTCAGTGTTATGGAGATGTGCTCCTGGCACCCAGCACTGGGTCTGTGAGCAGACAACGTGCAGCCATGTCCTTCTCCAAAACATTAGTGCTATGTGTGCTTTGATTATTACAGAATTTACCAACTATAAAATATCCACAGCTGAAATGTGACTGTCAATAAATCACCATGTGTATATGCTAGGAAGCATTAGAAATTAGGGGGAACAATTGCCCTGGTAAATACAGCTGGTACTAAGAATGTCCAGCAGTGAGGGTGAACCTTCTAGATCTTTCAATAATATGAACACCCCAATGTGGCACACGTGCTGTAGGTTCTCCACCACTGGTCTGGACTAGAAAGATATTTTAATACATTCCCATCACTTTCTTGAGCCCCAACCTCTAAATTATAGTGTATTACTGACAGCTGTGTGTAAGAACAAAGATACACTTCAAAGGTTTCACACTGAAAATGGAACTGGACTCCAAAAGAAGATGTCAGCAAATTTCATTTCACTTTAATGGCATTCTTTTTTATTATTTTAAGTTTTAACTAAGGCTGTACAGCTTAATGGGGTATGCTGTGATGTCTGATACATGTATATACTGTGTGATCAAGTTAAACATAAATATGTCCTCTAACACTTTTCCTTGTAAAGGCAAAAACATACTGACCTGTTTCTTCTACCTTTTATCTACATAATACAATCACTAGCTATAGTCACCTTGCTGCGCAATGGCACACTTTCCTTTCTTAGTCCTATCTAACTGCAGTGGAATACCCCCACTGATCTTTCTGATGCTTTGTGAGGAAAGCAGCTGTAAAATTTAATTGTTTTCTTTTTTTCTTTTTTTGAGACAGAGTCTCATTGTGTACTGCAGGCTGACCTTGAACTCGCTTATATAGCCCAGGCTGGTCTCAAACTGACAGTGATTCTCCTGCCTCAGTCTACCAACTCCTGGGATTACAGGCCGGTGCTAACACGCCTGGCTAAAACTGATTTTCTTTGCAAGAGCTGTTTGTATTTCAAAATCTTGCCTTTTTTGACCTGTTGTCACATTTAAATGAATAATTTATCTACATTTTCAACTTATAGGTTGTCTTTCATTTTAAATAAAACATTCAAGGATATGAACATCAAAATGACGTTTTAAAAATGGGCACTGCATGCATTTTCAGTTATACCTGTACTAAACTATTTTTTAACAAATATTCGAAATGTGTACCTTTTAAGTAATTTTATTGTGCTTCATATCTAAGTTCTACTGGTTATTTGCATTAGTGCAGAACCACGGTGAAAACAGAACGCTGTTTCTGACAATTCTTCCACCTCCATCCAGTGACACCATTTTGACAGTTTGAAACTAGACATGACTGAAGGATGCACACCAGGAAAACTGGCAAACACTACACACCATGGCCTGATTTATTATTTAATAAATTATTTTATATCCATATGTAACAACATGAAAGAATGTGAATATAGATTAAACTTAAAAGCATGTGTTTGTATTGTCATTCACTATGTGTAGCATGAAAAACTGTTGAACAAAAATGAGCTGTTAATAAAAATAGAAACAGGTGCTAACAAAGAAAACACACACCTGGGTGTGATGGTGCACATCTGTAGTTTCAGCACTTGGGAGGCTGGAGCAGGAGGATCACTGAGTTTCAGGCCAATCTAGGCTACCTAGTGAGCTCAAGGGCAGCCTAGACTGCATAGTGAGACCCCATCTTTAGAAAAAAATCCCAAAAAACAAAGAAAATATGCCAAAAAATACCAACAGTTTACCAATGATGCACAGATATAGAATTCATGAAAAATGTTCAACATCATAAATCTGTACAGAAATGTAGTTAAAACTACTACATTCTTATTAGTTATAAAAAAGCATATACTAATTATTGGCAAAAGTGTAGAAGAAATGCAATTCTCATAGTCTTATAAGCAAAACCAGACAACCACTTTTGTTCAGTTAGGCAGCTTCCTTAAACATCCACCTATCCTGTCAAATGGCATTGTATTTTGAGTCATTAACACAAAAGAAACAATCTAAATGCTCGTAAACATATGGATAAATGTTATAGCCACAAGGTGGACTACTCAGAAAAACAATGAGCAACTCATATAAGCATTGAACAATCTCAATCGTGTATCATAAATAAAACTAGAAAAAACATTTTGCCACAAGTCATACAAAATTCTAGAAAACACAATCTGTTAAGGGAAGTTAGTGGTTGTTTGAATATCAAGGATGTGAAGAAGAGACTAAAAAAGGGGATGAGGTAAACTAGAGGTGACCTATATGTTCATTGTAATAATTATGACTTACAGGCTTATTATAAGGTTTCGTAACCCAAGATTGACTCTTTCCTGATGACTCTGCAGGGCCAACCTTGCCTCAATGTCAGCATATATCAGTAAGTAATGCAGTTCATCCCCACACAGGATGATGGTTGGGCCACAAAACTACTTCATTAGAGTAAGTCATCCTTTTCTCTCTAGGTGCGTTCCTGGCCTATAAAAGTGAACATTCCAAAAAGTATACTGGAGTACATGAAACTTCCAGCTCATTTTTTTCTGACAATGACTTCAGTTATCGATCAGATACATATCCCTGGATACCACGAGAATTTCTGTGCACGTCCCACAATTACCGGAACATGTTACATAGAACAAACTGCATGTACTTCACTGCTGTCTCCATCAGTCCTTACTAATTCAGAGTTTGTACCTATTATGATTCTCTCTGGTCCCTGTAATGAGAGTGGCACAAGCTTAATAAATTATGGGCACCAGGGCACCTGACTCTTTTGCAGAATTTAGGATAGACACTGTATTCCATGGTGCTGCAAACTATATGTATGCTTTGTAAGCAACATGTAATAACAGGAAAAAAAAAAATAGGGAAAAGAAAAGAAATACAAAACTAACTTGTCTTGTTCCCGGGAACAATGTGGGTTACAACTTCCTGCCTCATGAAATTATCCTGGGGCCACAAAAAGTTCTAGCACTCAATCCACAACTTAGGAAGCCTCCAGACCAAATCATGCAAGATAGCTACATTTTCGCATTATTCCTCCTGAGGCACCAAATTATCTGAATTACACCCCTCACCCACCCACAAAGGTTGTTTACTATTTTGAAGACATTTCACACAGTGAATAGAACTGCAAGACTAAAGTAACTTAAATAATGAAGTCTTTATTATTACAAAAATCAAAACAATGTAAGCAGGTAGTTTCCAGGCTGGTGACTTAGAAGCTGGAAAAAATCCAGTCAGAAGAGCTCTTCTCAACAAGCTGCCCAAACACTTACTTACCTGGGTCATCAGTACTACCTGGGTCAAGTTTGTGCCCTAACTTCAGGAAAACAGGAATCAGAGTTTAGACTTGTCACATCTTCATCCAGCAAAAGGGAACCAAAGGCCAGCTTTTCTGTACATGCTGGAGTGGTGACTGGTACACTGTATAGACTTCCAAGTGTAGTAGTGAAATTCCCTCTGCCTCAAAACAGTGACAAATGCCAAAGCCTCTGCACAGATTAGAAAGTTAAACACACTTGCGTTAAGCTTCTATGACCTGGAAGGGGACTCTCCCCACTATGTGTCTTCATATCTTAAGGGTTCAATTCAGATACATGGCTCTCTCAGGTGGTCTGATCCAGTATGATAGTATAAGCAATGTGTGTATTCCACACACAGCTAAGTGTGAACTCTCTGGTGTTGAGTGAGGACAGATTTGGAGCTGAAGGATTTCCCACATACACTACATTGATAAGGTCTTTTTCCAGTGTGAATTCGCCGGTGTTGAACGAGGCTAGAACTTTGGCTAAAGGACTTCCCACATTCACTGCACTCGTAAGGCCTTTCTCCAGTGTGAACTCTCAGGTGTTTAATGAGGTTAGATTTGCAGCTGAAGGATTTCCCACATTCTTTGCACTTAATAGGCCTTTCCCCAGTGTGAACTCTCTGGTGGTTCCTAAGGTTGGAGCTATGGCTAAAAGTTTTTCCACATTCTCCACATACATAAGGCCTTTCCCCTGTGTGGACTTTCCGATGTGAACTGAAGCTGGAGCTCTGCTTGAAAGACTTCCCACACTTACTGCACTCATAAGGCCTCTCTCCAGTGTGAAGTCTTCGGTGGTGAATGAGGCTGGAACTTCGGCTAAAGGCTTTCCCACACTCACTGCACTCATGAGGTCTTTCTCCAGTATGCACTCTCTGGTGGTAAATGAGGCTAAAGTTCTGGCTAAAAGATTTCCCACATTCATTGCATTCGTAAGGCCTTTCTCCAGTGTGAACTCTCTGATGTTGAATGAGATTGGACCTTTGGCTAAAATATTTCCCACATTCCTCACACTCATAAGGCCTTTCTCCAGTGTGAACTTTCCTATGGCTGTTGAGACTATAGATCTGACTGAAGGATTTCCCACATTCATCACACTCATAAGGCCTTTCTCCAGTATGAACTCTCTGATGGATAATGAAGCTAGAGTAGTAGGTAAAGAATTTTCCACACTCATTGCATTCGTAAGGCCTGTCTTCACTGTGGACTTTCTGGTGCTGAATTAGATTACACCTTCGTGTACAGGCTTTCCCACACTTGCTGCACTCAAAAAGCCTTTTCCCGGTGAGGACTCCCTGGTGCTGAACCAGTATGTTTGTGTGGCTGAAGGCTTTTTTGCATTCTCCCCAGTTATGATTTTTCCCACTGTGAAAGGCCATCTGACAGTTACTTGGTTTTTCCCCTGTGTGAGTGGTTTCCGGACAGGGAAATCCCATGCTGGCCAGGAAGCCCCTCCCAACTCCCTTCCAAGTAAAAGGCTTCCCTGACACATGGACCATGCAGCTCTTTATAAATGAGGTTCTGTCCACAGAGTTTCCAAAGGGTAACTCTTTAATGTGCTGCCTTTGGTGCTGAGGAAGATTATCAGTGAAGTAGAATTGTTTCCCATAGGAATATGGTTTTTTCCCACAATGTGTTCCACGGTGCTGAGCCAAGTGTAGAATATCTCTCAAAACCAGGCCACAAATTTCACAACTGTAGGCATTCTGGGAAGACGACCCTTCTTTTGGTGTCCCAACGTGTGAGGATTCCACAGAAAGGCCCAGCTTAGAAGGTGCCACTTCATCTTCCGCTCCACATGAACAATCTGAAAGCAAAAAAGTAATGATGAAGTACACACTTCATGCCTTTATTAGGAGGGGTCAACACAATCACAAAATCACATCTGATACAGGGAAGAACCAGGGTATGGAGCTGTTTTTAGGAAAACGGAGATAGGCTTAGGTTGTGGAAGCATCTGCTCTACAAAACAGGACCCTGAAGGTCAAATCTTTACATAAAGAAAAACTGGCAGAATCAAATTACTAAAATCAGAAACAAAAGTAGGGAGGAATTACACCAATTCTACAGAAACACAAAGCTCTGCAAGATAGTACTAAAGCAACTGTATAACATGGGCAAATTCTCTGGTATACAAAACCTACTGTGACTGAGTTATAAAAATATAGAAAACTTAACACATTCACAAATAGTAGGAACAGTGCACCAGTAATCAAAAAAACCGACCAACAAAGAAAAGCCTTGGATCTGGTGGCTTCACTGGTGAATTGAACTGAACATTTAATGAAATAACAGAATTATTAGACACTAAATAGATTCCACTGATATACCAGTCCTTAGGTTGTTTTCTCTTTGCATTTCTTCCTTGCACTACTTTTCAAAGAAGGTTCTTCTAAGGAAATATTACATGTCTAAAGCTCTTTTCCTTTTTTGACTCTGTAGTTTTAAAAATATCTTCTCATATGTTACTTTCTAAGTTTTGTATTTGTTTATCCTGGCAACCTGGGAAGACCATATAGCATCCATATAGTTGGGTCATTGATTCATTTTATTAAGGTACTGAAAGTACCTCTTTGTTTTGTTTCTAAAAATCCTAATTATTTTTTTGGCCTCTTCTTACTGTCTGAAGAATTGAGTTTCTATGGAGTCATGAAATTGTAGCTAAAAGAGACTGTCTCCTTGATCAAGTCTGAGATTAAATACTATGGTTTCCAGGTTTTTGGCAATATGTTTCTTGAACGTAACCCTAGTTACCTGTTTCTTGGGGCCAACATCATACTCTCTCAGTCTTTTTATCCCCAAACCTTTCCAGATTGTTAATTTTGTCCACAGAATTCTAGATTGGAATTGAGAAAATCCGAACAATGTGGATTGGAATCTTCAGATTGGAAAGACTGTAGATACTGTAATGAGACCATCTTTGTTTGCTAGGAAGCTTCCATAGTACATAGATTGTGTGTTATAAAGATGTGATATTTCACACTTTGAAGATTGGTTATAGGCTTTCTGCTTTCATTTTCCTGAGCCTGCTTAAAACTGAATGTGGAATCTATCTTGAATTTCTTCTTTTGTTCTCATTACTACCTCAGATACAATGCTAAATAAAATTCAGACTTTCTTAATATGAAATCAGTTGCTATACACTATAATAGCATCAAAAAATATGGTACTAAGGAATTAATCAAGGAAGTTAAAAAAAAGTGTACTATAAAAACTATAAATAGAGCCAAAAGAACTAAGGAAGAATAAAAAATAGGAAGATATCACATGTTCATGGATTGGACTAGTTAACATTATTAAGACGTCTATAGTACCCCAAAGTGAGCTACAAACAAATGAAAAATCCATCAAAACCCAATGATAGTTTTTTTCTTCTCTTTTGGAAAGTAGAGAAATCCATCCTAAAATTCATATTCAAGGTCACTGAATAGCTAAAATGATCAAAATGTATTGCAAATGATAATTAAGCGTTATACTTCTGTAAAGACACACATATAGATCAATGATGGATAGTGAGTCCAGAGGTAAATTCCCAAGTGTCTGGTCAATAATTTTCCACAAAGTGGGCCAAGACCGAAAAAACAGACTTTCTAATACATAAGGCTACGAAAACTGAATATCCACATGAAAAGAATAAAGCTAGAACTTAACCTGACCTCATATACTGTAATTATCTCAAAGTGGACCAAGATGGGCATGGTGGTGCACATTTACAGTCCCAGCACTTGGACTATCACTTTAGCTTAAGATCAGCTTGGGCCACATAGGTCAGATCAAAGACCTAAATATTGGAGTTGAAACTATAAAACTCTTAGAAGACAACAGAAGGAAAGCTTCATGACATAGGATTTGTCAAAGATTCCTTCAAAATGATGCAAAGGCAATAAAAGAAAAAATAGACAAACTACATTTTTGTGGGGAGTGGCTGAAGCTGGAGATCACAGGTGCAGGGTTAAAGCAAGGTCAGGCCCGAGAACTTGGAGCACCCAAGGCAAGCCATGTGAACAAGCTGTTCCAGCTGGGAGAACACAGACAGCCAGAGACAAGCCAACTAAACAAGCTGATAGGCAGGAGGTGTCACATGACAACCTGCCAAGTGTATAAACACACTGTATCATGACAGAGAACTCCACCTGACCTCAGCTTTCTGTATTCTGACTCTTTATTTCTTCATCCTCCACCAGCAATCCCCCCACCCGCAAAGTTTGAGAGCTGTGCTGGATGCAGATTTTATCAAAACAAAAACTGTGTACATAAAAAGACTCTGTCAACCAAAGAGCAACCCGTAGAATGGAGTAAATATTTGCAAATCACACAGTTTTGATCCAGAGCACATCTGATTCGAACCCTACCGAGAATTCCTAAAACTCAAAAATAATAATCCAACTTAAAAAACAGGCAAGGGATTGGAATAGAAATTTTCTGAAGACATACAAAAGGCCAATTAATTTGTCTCACTCACTATCACAAATCTACACGGAAATCCAAATTCCAACCACCATACCCATTTGGATGGCAAATCCCAACCACCATACCCATTTGGATGGCCACAATAGAAAATAAGTGTTGACAAGGCCGTGGACAAAGTGGAACCTTTGTGCATCACTGTAATAAAAAAATACTACAAGGTACAGTGAAATAAAAAACAGTATGACTGTACCCAAAATAATTAAAAACAGAATTATATGATCCAGTAATTCCACTTTTGCATCTATTGTATGTCCAAAGGAACTAAAAGCAGGAGCATGGAAAGATATTTGAGCACCCACATTCACAGCACCATTACTTACAACAGTGTAAATGTAGAAACAACACAAACATACACTGATGGATGATGGAAAAATACGATGTACTACATACTTGTGAAGGAATATTAGCCTTAAAAGGAGAGGACATTGGGCCTTTCCTACAATATAGATATACCTTGAAATTACTAGGCTAAGTGTTTAAACAAGCCAGGTGCAAAAGAACAACTACTGTCTACTTCCACTCATATAAGGTAATTAGGTCAAATGTACGGAGACAGAAAAAATACTATGGCAGTTGCCAGAGGATGAAGGGAATTACTGTTTAATAGATTTCAATTTTGCAAGAGGAAAAAAACTTATGGAAGGGGGTGGTAGTTGCACAATAATGTGAATGTATTAAATTTCACTAAACTTTACACTTAACAATTATCAAAGTGATAAACTTTATTATATATCTTACTACAAAAAATGAACAAAGGGCACCTTAGAGGAGGTTCTTTCAAGAACAATCTCTATTAGACTGACAACGTCAGTCACATTTTACAGCATAGTCGGGAATAGATAAATATCAGGTACAGGAAGGGAGAAAAACTTGGGTGCATGGACCTGGACAGTTACCAGACTGGGAGAAGATAAGCTGAATGAAATCTCTTAGGCTCATTACAAGATTACTGATCCTGAATAAGCACCTTGAGTCTCTGGAGCAGCAGGTACTGTGATGAGAGGGCAACAGGCATGCTCCAGGTCCCCAGCACCTACCCAGGGAACTGAGAAAAGCAAGAGTGCCCATGATCCAGATCTCAGGACAAAGCTGCTCCTAATGAGGAGAAAGGCAGAATCGAACCCAAAGGACAAGGATGGGCATGCGAGACTTACCCAGAGAGGATGTTAGTACCAAGTTCTCCAGCATCACATCAAGGTACAGGTGTCTCTGGGCCGCATCAAGAAGATCCCACTCCTCCCAAGAGAAGTACACAGCCACATCTTCAAAAGTGATACTGCCCTGGCAAGACAGGGACTGATGAAACCTTGATCATTGTCGCTCTAAAAGACCCACAATCCACACCCCATACATCCGCCCTCATGACCAGCTTCCTCCCAAGCTCTCAGTACCTGAGGAGATACCATACTCTAGTGTCATTAGTATCAGCTATGCTCATTCACTCTGTTTTCCATTCTGCAACTACACAAAACCTGTCAACACCTGGAAAAGATAATTTCCCTCCTCTGATCCCAAACTCTCACTGCCTCCACAGCAGATGCCTAACTTCACAGGCACTCCTTCCACGCCTGCCTCTCGTCCGGAGTTCACTGTTAACGAAAAGACGGACCACAGCTCCCTAACACTCTCACCTGCAAGCAGTTCTGTACGCTGGTACCTGCGCACCTGCGAGCAGCTCTTCAGTGGCCCTAAAGGGAAACTCCTCCATGCAAGTCTGAGCGTGGACGCAGGGCCCTGACCTCGGTGATTCTCCAGGGTCCTCGTCTAAGGTCACCAGGTATCTGAAGAAAATGTGGGTGGCAGCCTGCAGCTGGGAGCGACTGCGACACCCTCCACTCACCTGCGCAGGTTCCAGCAGCAACTGAGCAGTCACAGGGAACTGCGGGGACCACCAGGCCAGAGAGGCGTGTGGCCACGGGCGCTAGCCCAGAGCGAGGTACCGGGGCCCAAGTCGACCGCCCAGCCTCGTGCTCGAGCCCAGAGTAACGGGCCTCCGCCGGCCGTGCAAGGACCCCACGCCGCGGTTCCCGCCCGCCGCCCCCGCTGAAGCCCCACCGCGCGCCTGCAC